GGGGGGGGGAGAAAGTGGAAGGACCCAAGGGTAATCCCATCCCAGACCCACTTGTCCTCCGCCATCACGTGAGTGTTAGGCCGATGCAGTGTCCCCTTAGCGTCGTCGTTGGAGACTAAAGATAAGCTTGCACTTGTTTCAGCCTTCGGTGAGGACTTTGCTCCTGTAGCTCCGGAGCCCCCCCGGGAGTCCCGCTCTGAAGATGGGGGACCTCGGGAAGAGGGTGGGACGCCTGACAGGCTTGGAAGTCTTTCAAAAGTTAGCTGAGACGATGGCATTTCTCACTTTATGACTTTAGTGTGGGACTTTATTCTATGCTACTGAGGCTGCCTCCTCGACCTGCGCCAGCCTCGCACCCCTAACTTCCTCGCCCCTCAGGCCACCTGTCTCAGAAACGCTTGCTTGAGTACCGGAGGGATGGAAGCGAGGCTGTATCTGGCCCAGCTTGTTTAAAAAGAAAAAAAAAAAGTCCTATTCGCTTCAACAAACTCGAATAATTAGCGCGAACCTTTGGAGACTAATTAGTCCTTTCCCGACAGCACTGTTTTCCTGAGTGGGACAAAAAGCCGAATGTCTTTTCGAAGATGAATGTCCTTGTAAAGGCCTCCACCCAGTCCCTATCTCTAGAGGATTTTCTCGCGCAGAGTCAGCGCAAAGTGCAGGATGCAAGTGCTGACCCGGGAGGAAGGGGTGTCTTTTCCTATCCGGAGTAACCCTGGAAGAGGGCAAGAGCTGCCCAGACTACCAAAAGCCACATTCCTGAAAGGTCAGGGAGGTTTCAAGCTAATCTCAGGGTTTGGCAACCTTGTGAGGGCAGGAAGAGTGTCCAGGCCCAAAATGGACTGGGGATTCTGACCTGACCCCCACACAGCCCTTCCTGCTGTCAACCCCACCCTTCCTTGCAGCCTCCATCACCACCCCTACCCCAGATCAGGGACTTTACACTTACTCTGCAGTAGGCTTTCCTGTTATCCTAATTTGGGATCATATCTGGTGGAGTAACCCAATTACTTGTTCTTGCACTTTATATATATGGCATTTATTGATTGACTTTATTTATTCATTTATGTAGTGGTGCTAGGGATCAAATTGAGAGCCTTGCTATGCTAGGCAAGCCCTCCACCATTGAGCCACAACCACATCTCCAGCATTTATTTATCAACTTTAATAGAAGAATCTGGGCTTCCCCCTCCCCTGGACCTTGACTGGAAGACACAGAGAGAGATGAACCTGCTACTTTGTAGCTGAGTTAAACAAAGTTCATTAGTTTTCAATTTTACCTAAAACAGACCTTGAAAAAGTTTCTAAGGGCTCTGCCTTAGAGAAGGGAAAGAAAGCCCTGACCCAGGGGGTGACATCACCCCAGGAACTGGGCATCAGCCTGACAGCTGCCAGAACTCCTGGGAGGGTCACATTGATCATGCTGACACCAGAGCTTCTGTTCTCTGCCTCTATTACTACAAAGGGTGGCTATAACAGGACAAAATTGTTTAAAGCATTCTTACTGCCCTGCTAGCATCCTTCAGATAAAATAGCATGGTAAATAATATAATTTCAATGCATGCTCAATAGTTTTGTATTTGCCATATATTCCTACATCTCCTGTGGAAACCGAGTATAAAGTGCATAGAAAGTACACAGTAAATGTTTGCCATCATTATTTTTTAATATTTATTTTTTTAGCTTAGTTGGACACAATACCTTTATTTTATTTATTTTTATGTGGTGTTGAGAATCGAACCTAGGTCCTTACATGTGCTAGGCGAGCACTGTACCGCTGAGCCACAACCCCAGCCTCCTCATTATTATTTTTAAAACAAGTTTTATCTTGTCTCTCTCCCAAACTTTTATGACTATTCTATCAAGTACAAGAATTTAATGTGCCTAATAAGCCATCCTCTCCCTAGCCTTGTTTCTCTGCAAGTCCTTTGCACCTGCACCTAGCCACATGTGTCAGGCTTTTCTGATGCCTTTCCTTTATCAAACTGTCCTCTCTGCCAGCTGTGTCCTTTCCACCTGGCATGCCTGTCCACCTGACGAAACTCTATCCTTGTTTTAAGACACAGCTCAAGTGACACATCCACTATAGCAGTGATCCTTAATTTGAGGTCCACAAATTGCTCCAAGCATGTAAAAAATAATGCACTTCACAAATTTTTATGAAAAGTTAGTTTTTATCTGATTCTCTAGGTAGTCTGTGATCCCTTCCAAATCAAGTTTGGGCACAGTATGAGATGTTTCATGGTCAACTCGGGCCTGAGGTCTGGAGAGATAGCCAAGTAAACATGATGAGTCCACAGTGGGGGTAGAACTTCATCTGGAGCTCAAGGAAGAGGAGGGCTGCATGGTGACATCACCTTTGGGAACTGTCTACCAAACACTGGACTTGAAGCCCGAGGAGAGATTATATCAACTCAAGGTCAGCGGGAACATCACTTAGCATTTAGTAAGTGCCACCTACTGTTCTGAGCCTCTAAGTGTTTCATTGGCTCATTGACTCCTGTGACAACTCAGTGCCGCCACGGGTGGTCTTTTTTAAGACCAGCCTTGAGAACCACAGTGTTTAAATGTCAGGTAAAGGAGAAGGAGCCGAAAGGAGCCTGGGAATGGATCGGCACAAAATAAAAGGATGTGATATCCTAAAAGTCAAGGGCAGTTTGAGTTTGGGGGGAAAGAAGGAGAGAGCAGCTGTGCTGCTGAGAAACTATTCAAGATGTGAAGTGTCTTTGGATTAATGGAGATGACAAAGTGGATACTCGACGGTGGGGTGGCAGAGGCAGAAGCCAGAGTAGAGTGGCCCCAGAAGGGAGTCAAAGGTGAGGAAGAGGTGACAGCTAGAGGGGCATGGAGAGGCAGTAGAGGAGGGGAGAGTCAGGCGAGGGGAGTTGGGTTCCTCAACACAGGTCCTGACTGGGCGACTGTTGTGGTTTCTGGAGGCTGGTCCACAAACAACCCACTGCACCAAGTTGTTAAACAATTCAAACAACTGACAGAGGGATTCCGTTCAAAGGGAAAGCATAAAGACATAGGAGGAGAGATGCTCTTGTGTAACGTCAGCTTTCTGAAGAGGAGGAGGCAGGCAGGCAGACTTCAGACCACAGGTGGATGGATGGGCCTCGGATCAAAGCAGAGGGAGGGAAGGGAAGATGGGGTTTCTAGTCATTGTAAATGCAACCCACACACTCATACCTTACACACAGGATGACGGAGATTTGAGATTGTTCAGGCAGGGTTGAGGGAGGACCGGTTGAGATGAGTGATTGTATATTTACAGAGACAGAAGTGGATTTGCTGTCCCCCACCTTCATCCCCTGGCTGTGCTCAATGAAACCTAGGGGTCAGACAGAGAGAGCTGGGGCTGTTTAGGATCATCACAGATTGGGTGCAGGGACATTGTTGCTAGGTAGCTGAGAACAAAACGGGAACAACAGACTTTAGGGTATTGTCTAAGAGAATGATCAGTCCTGTTTATCAGATCAAAGAGACAGTTCCAAGAAACTTTGTGAGTCTCACTGGCAGTGACTGTGGTCACTTTGAAAATTAATTTGCAAGAGCACCTGCCATATTCCAACCCTAGCTCCTCTACTTAGGAATCATGGAACCTGGAGCAGTTAACTTCATCTCTCTGTGTTCTCAGTTTCCCACTCTGTGCAGTGGGGGCATTGATGAGACCTCCTTCACTGGGTGGTTGTGAGGATTAAATGAGTGTGTACATTGAAAACCCTAAGAACAATGCCTGGAATAAGTCAATCTCAGTCCATGATTCTTTCTTATTCTATCATTATTATTAACACAAAGAATATTCCAATTGGTAAAACTAGAGTCTTATGTATGTAATAATGGTGAACTTAAGACTGTAGGTTCTTTATACTCATCTCAGTAGACATTCCGATACTTTTAAATACATACCTTAAGCAAGTTGATCATCATTCAGAACATTCAACAGACTGCAGGACATGCATCACTATCATCATTATTAAACTGTTTTACAGATGTGGACACAGACCCTCAGAAGGCACATGGCTCTCTAGTGACCTGAATTGAAGCCTGGGTCTCTAGCGTGCTTGCCACCTAGTGACTTTGCCTGTTAAGGAAGCTGTTTGAACGGTTTTAACTAATTTTTGTTTTCTGTTCATTTTCTTTTGCTTGGAAGGCTGCCTTTGCCACCTGACCCACCTAATCCAGGCCAAGACTAAAAGCCAACACTAGTCTTCTTTTGTGGTGATTGATGTCACTTTGAAACTCCCATTTTTCCAAACCCACCTGAAAGCAAGTCTTGTGCGTCTGTGTTCTTTCTGTTTGAAAGAACTGGCACACCAGCTGCAGACGGTGTAAGCCAGCTTTAGAAACAGAATCCCTTAATCAAGGGACAGGCAGTTCCTTGTAAATCCAAATAAAAGTCAATGCTTTCTGATGACTTTCATTAGTCAGGGCTCCAGGATTTGCCCTGGAAGCTGCTTTTTCACATGTGACCTGACCCAGTGGATTATATTCATTCAGGAGTTTGGTCTCACGTTAATGGACTTCCACTTCTGTGTCAGCTGTCACTGAGCTTCTGACCCATGGCAAGGTCATACCATGCCCTGCCTTTTTGGTGGCCTTCAACTCATACTTCACTGTGACTTAAGAGAGTTTTTAAAAAATCCATCAGTTGAGAGTTTAAACAGGTAAATGGAAAAAAAATCAGTGCCATAAAGGCTAAAAACACAAACCGCCAACGCCACAAAGTTTCTGGAAAAGAGAATTTAGGAAGATATCATTTTATAAAATTAAGTTTAAATTGGCAAGTAGACTGCTAACAGAGATAAGCTACCATAAGTACAGAAAGTCTTTACATATATTGTCTACACATATAATTATATTTTAAAAAAAAACAAGGAACTACATCTTAACTTTTTATTATTGGCACAGATATTAAATATTTGGAAATGCATCTCTGTATTAGGTATGAGAGACTATGTACTGATCTTTGTATTATCGTACTTATGTGTATCTTGTGTTCAGAAATTTCTTAAAATTCATGAACTCATCTTTCATGCTTCATTCTGGCAAGCTTGAATGTCATAGGCAGAGCTAGTCAGGCGAATTCTCATGATATAAGAACAATATACAAATCTCAAGGCAGGTACCCAACAGCTCTTCCTTCCCACCCTAAAATGTTGAAGAGTACAAGTCCTGATATCTCGTTGTTCCCTGAATTTATTTGAATCTGTTTATGCACACAATGATTGTAAACTTTACAGTTCATCTTTCCCTGGCAGTATTTCCAGTAAATGATCTGTTGGGGTAATTTGGAATATTAAAAGCTCTGAAAGTATTCATATCTGGACTTAGTCTGTTTTCCCACTCATGCTAATTCTAAGGATAAGAAAAGAAATGTAAAGCTATAGTCATAAATATCACTCTGTGCTTTATAGAAGTGAACAATCAGGAACAATCGTATAGCCAATAAAAGAGAAATGGTTGAATAAATTATAGAGCATCACTTCCTCTAAAATGATAATTATAGGAGCTATGTAGCAGCATGGTAGGGTGGTGTTGATAGAAAAGAGCAGTTCAAAATTGTATCTCCATCATTGTGGAAACCGTACAAATTTCATCAACTTAGGATCAGAGGCTGGAGAGCAGCGTGAGGGTTCAGGGACTCTTTCCCATTTGCTTTGTTTTGATAGTGGACAGGCATGGAAGTTGGGCTGCGGAGCTGGGCCGAGACCATCACCATGGAGTGAGGGTTTGTGTTTTAACTCTCAAACTTGAATTTGATCCAGTGAAAGACACCATCAGATTTGTGCTTTGCAAAGATTGGCTGCTGTATGGGGTAGGGATCGAGCAGACGAATGACTGTTGAAGACTGACCAGTTGGCAGGCCTAACCCAAGCAGTACCCTTTATCCTGAGAAGTGGGGGGGGGGATTCTTAAAGGGGCATCATTTACGCTAGCACCGGTCCTAAAATACTACCATTGCACTTTAAGATTCTTGAACTACGTTTCCAGTGTAAATTTCATTCTGCATACATATCCATCTGTACGCAGATCTTTAAAACGTCTGCATATGTGAATCCCATCTGCTTCAGGAGCATTTGGAAAATCCTAGCTGAAACGACTGACACATTTTTAATACAAGAGAAATAGTAATATTGCACATTCTTGTTATATGTTGTATTTGGATAGTCATGAAATTTCTTTAAAGTCTGGCCATCTTAAGATGATCGTATTGCAACAGAATGGTTTTACTGTTGCATCTACTACAGGGGGTGTTTTGGTGGGCATTCACGGCATTTCTCCATAGTTCCATTTCTATGTATTGTCTTAAAGTTTATTTATGCCCTGCCTGGCTCCAGAAAGAATTTAAAGTGTCAGTGCTGGGGTTACATATGCTAGATTTCAGGAGGCTGCTTATCACTGATGCTTTCATTCCCCCTTAGCAGGCATGTCGCCATTCCCTAGCCAAACCATCCTACTTTCCAGCTCATCCCTTGCTACCTACCCTGCACCCTGAGTCCAAACCCTTATCAGTTCTCACTTCCTGCCTCCTTACAAATAGTACCTCTTTTGCTTTTCAGTTAACCAATTAAAAACTGAATTAGATATGTGCAAAGGCAGTTTGTAATATGTACAGGGATATGCAAATGATAGAAGTTGTTATTCTTTCCAGTTTTAAAATTCAATGATTCTATGACTACTAAAATATTTCAGTTGAAAGAGAAAACCACATGCTGTTTTTCTCTCATTTGGTTCCTCTGCAATAAATCAGTGCATTTGGTCTGAGAGATGCAGGTTATTTTAACCAGTAAGAGGCATGCTTCTTGTGATTTTTTTTTTCTTTTTCTTTAAGTTTTGTATGTACTTTCTTTATGTGGTAAGAAGCTCAGTGGAAGGAAAATTGGATGATTCAGAAAGGCAACATGAGACCAAGGAAATAAAAGGAGTGTATATCTATAAAATTAAACATAATTAAGCAGTTTATTTGCATAACTATGTCCCCTATCTACCCGGGCAGAATAAATCCCTATGCGCTTAAGTGATTAATTTCCTACCGAGAATAACTGTGGGGCACTGGGGGGAGAAAAGAAATAGCTTCTACACCAAATTCCTTTCCAGAGAGGGAAGTCTTAACAACCACGCAAGTAGGGCAGAAATTTAGCAGAGATTAAGCAAGGCAGATCCTTGGCCGGATTCCCATTCTCATAACGGCTCAATGCCAGCCACAGGTTTTTCAGCATAAAATCCAAATGGGCCATTCACAGAGCCCTAACCCTGCTTTTTCGCTCCCCTACCACAGCCTACATCCCGTTACTCTAATATCCAGCAGGATTTCTTCTCAGTGGAACTGAAATCCATGGAAGCATCCCCGTGTCTTTGGTTCTGTGGGCAAATTAGCAGCCAAGGTTCTGTCCCCTCCCATAGAGATCCTTGGCTGACATCAGCAAATAAACACTCCCCATGGTGTGGTGGAACATTTAAAGGTGCTTATCTGCAGTGGGTTAGTCTTTGGGGAGACGTGAATCTGTTGAAAACTTTGGGCCTTTCTCTTCAGCAAAACAAACCACTTGAAAATTTGCCAGCAAATTAAGAGAGTCCCGTAGTCTCATCAGAGGAATCCACAGAGCCTATGGGAAGGACCCCCCCAACCCCCGTTGCCCCATTTCTCAAGTGCCTTCAAATTTTTGCTTTCAAATTCAGACATAACTTTAGTTTGCACAGAATGAACCTCAGCACGGGTAGTTTTCTAGTGGTGACATTTCTTTATCAGTCAAATGCTGTCCCCACTGTTTCAACTTGTAGCTTGAAGAAGTCACAAAGACAAACAAAAATGACCGTGTAGTCCTATTAATACGGAGCTCTTGTGTTTCAGGTCTGACTACAGCCACCTGTCCTCCACCAGCAGTAAGTATTTTTAAGTGTCTTTCCACATTGTGTTTACAGTCCCCCGCGGGGTCAGTGCCACAGGGGACATCTATCTAGTGCATGTTGAATCGGAAGTAGTGATCAACAAAGGGGTCCTGGACAAAGAACAATATGGGAACCTCGAACCCTGAGACTGGAGGCTTTTCCTGGAGAATTTGATCAGACCTTGTTTTCAGTACGGGATAGGCCCCTCCTGCACCTGCAGAAACTCAGATTGAAGGATGTGCCCCAGGCTTGACCAGCTGCTTCCAGATGCTTCTAGGAACACCTTCCCAGAGCAGCCTTAACTCAGCCATTGGGCTCCCCTCCATCCAGTGCCGCATCCTGTTCCCACAGGCTAACAGGAAACTCAGAGCACAGCCACTGCGCCCTTTGGGCTGTTCTAACTCATCTCTGGGCAAATGTCTTCCCTTGTATTTCTGCCTCTGTAGGCAAATGTCACTGTCTCCTAATATGGAAGAAATGTCCACCTCTGACACAAATCCTGCTAGTGTGTTAACACCACCATCATAGACTCTCATTAGGCAATTTAGCTCTCATTCCTCCACGTAAATGTGGCTAAAAAGAATGTAGATATTTCTACCAAACCATCTTTCTGTATTTGTAACTCTTATATTACAAGTGAACATTATATGTGGTTTTTTTAAAAAAAAAAAAGATAGGAAATATTCTTCTAAAGATGCTCTGAACATTTTTTAAAAAGTGTTTATATTTAATATTAAAATACAAGTAAATGTATTCATGATACATGATGCCTGCTGTCTATAAAGAATTTATAGAGATTAAAACCACTATATCAAAGCCATTCAGATCAATTCAACCTTTACTTTAAAATTAAAAAAAATAAAATTTGCAATAAGACCCTTGATTTTTTTTTTAAATCAGTAAATACTGAATTGTTCTGCCCTATCTCACTATCCTGTTAAAACTCTTAATTCTAAATAGTTCCCCAGTGGAGAGACACTTAATTGGATTATTCTATTTATTGATGTTCTGGCTTAGTTTCCCTTTGCAATAAGGGACTATGGGAAAGCTGCATGTCTAGAATTGTAATTTAGTGTCAAATTATATTTAGTTATTAGTATAACTGCAGCGAGCAATTTCTCATCATTTTTAGCCAACCAGAGACCCAACGTTGCCCTATAGTTATTAAGAACCATTAGTAATCATGAAAATAATGCTCCAGTGATTTGCACTCATCCCCCCGGAGCTTTTCTATTCCTGAAATCAGAGACAGCCTCTTGAACTCTCTGTCTCCCTGCCGCCATTTTCATTCCACTTAGTTTGGCCCAGAGGCTACATTTCTTTAAGAATGATTTTTCTAAAACACTTGCATGAAGCCTTTGCTCAGTTCAAAGCTCTCAAATCAGTCCTCTGGGTCACAACAAAGCACCTCCCTAGTCAGCGAAACTGGTAATTTGGTTTGGGATGTTTTCTTCTCAGTTATTTTAATTGCAGTCTGGGTTGGAAATTCTCTTAGTACAGCTGGGATCAATACCCTGTTATTGCTCTTCCTTTCTCCTTTAAATATTGTAGTTCTGCCTCACTCTTCAGAGAGGAGACTTCTTGGTGAGTGTACATGTGTGAGTGTATGTGTGTGTTTTGGTTGGGAAATGTGTTTGGTTACAAGTACAAAGAAAAAAATGGTTAAGCACGTAGGGATTTGTTTTCCTCTATCATTTAAGAAGAAAAAAAGCCCAGAGGAGGCAAGTGCAGGTCTGATGTAGGAGTTCCTCCAGTCATTCTCCTACACCACTCTCAGCTTTGGGCTTCCATCCTCAGGGTTGCCTCAGAGTTACAATAAGGCTGCCTGCACCATAGCCATCACATCCTTTTCTCAGCAAGAAGAAAGAAAAAGGAAGATCAGAGGGCACTGGCTGGGTCATCCTTTTTTTTTTTTTTTGTTACTGAGGATTGAACATAGGGGCTCACTGAGCCACATGTTTTGTATTTTATTTAGAGACAGGGTCTCACTGAGTTGCTCAGCACCTTGCTGTTGCTGAAGCTGGCTTTGAATTCCAAATCCTCCTGCCTCAGCCTCCTGAGCCGCTGGGATTACAGGCGTGAGCCACTGTTCCCAGCTGGGTCATTTTTAAGGAGTCTTTCAAAGACTCTACCCAGCAGTTACTCTTATCTCTTTGGACTAGATGTTGGTTACGTATTTATCTCTAGTTACAAGGGGTTCTGGACAACAATGTTTTCTTTGACTGCATTGCTATCCCTAATGCATTTCAGGTAGCAAAGAAGGAGAGTGGATACTGATGGGTCTTGCCTGCATCAGCACCCAGCTAGGAGCATAAATCCTGCCCCTACCTGCATGCAGGAGAAGGCCCTTTGAGCAGTCAGTGGAATATAACAGAGTAAACTTTATGAAAAGAAAAGAAAAAAAAAGTTTAAGTCAGGAGTCTTCAATCCACCCTTAAAAAAAAAAAAAAGTATTTTCCAAGTAGATTGTTAAAATAACATTTTTCAGCTGGGTACGGTGGTGCAGGACTATAATCCCAGCAGTTCGGGAGGCTGAGGGAGGAGGAATGAAAGTTCAAAACCAGCCTCAGCAAAAGCGAG